TTAATAAAACTAAATCAACCTATTAACCCAATTCTGAGAAGTCAACTTTTCAACTTAATATTCGGCTTTTTACAGCTTTCGAATTGTCAACTTTTTCGAACTTTTTTTTTGAATAACGACTTTTTTCGACATAAAACAAATGTCACAACAAGTTAGATTTTCTAAATATCAACTTTTTCTGACTTTCTCGATATTTTTTTATTTGTTCTTGCAAAATCGTTTATTCGACTTCCGTATTAAACATTTTGGCATGGAAACCTAAGAGAGATAAAAGAATCAGATTCGTATTCAATATATAAACATTATTTTTAATTATTGAAATTATAAATTAGGACTTAATAAGAAATTTAATATTATTGACATCCCTATTTTGTCATTTTTATGCTATTATAGTTAATTCGAAAGAGAATGAAATGTGAAACGATTTTAAAAGATTTACTCATTTATGTAACTGATATGTCAATGAATTATTTACAATGTTTTATGAAAAAATTATTAATTAAGAATTATTAAACAACGAATTATTTTAAGAATAAAATTTAGAGGATTTAATTGAACGAATGGTCACCTTAATTTAGAACCTACATCATCCAACAATTGTTTTTTCAAAATACCTTTTCTATATCATTTATCTTCGTCGATTTAGCGATATCCAAATGTTTGTTGAAAATATTGAATATTACTATTTTAATCCAGAAAAATCGGTTCATAAATAACAGTATTTCAAGCGAAATACCTCTAAGTTCATCTAACACAAGTACTAAGGTATATATTAGGGGTTATGATTTTGGGAACAGAAATCCTGAGACCAAGTTATAAATTTCTAAATAAAATACCTCTAAGTTCATCTAACACAAGTACTAAGATATATATTAGGGGCAGTGATGCCAAGTGTTGGGATTTTTCCCTTTTTGTAGGGATTTTTTTCAAAAATTTCACGTGTAGGGAAAAAGGGAAAGATTTCTTACTATTGTCAAATTGTAGGGATTTTTCAATTTCATAGTTTTTAACAACTAAAAATATACTCTTTCATGTATTAAACTTTTAAATTAAAAATGAAATCAGTTTTAAGTGTATCGTTAGTAAAAATTCCGCTTGTAATTTCTACAATATATGTACCTACATATCGCTACAAGACTGGCATAATCCAAAATTCGGCTTTCTTGAACTAAGGTCTTCAAAACATGCGACATACTAAAATCTTTCATATAGATTTATGAAATTTCAAATATGTCTATTATTTTCGATGTGAAATCGATTTTTTGTAAACGTAAAAACTAAAACCCACGTTTTTGTGAATATTAGACAACTAAAAATTTAATTTCAATTTAGATGAGAAACATATTAACCTCAACTATCTGAATCTGGATTTTTAAAACCCCTTGGTTTGTTTAAAAGTTATTAAAAAAATAGTTAAATGTCATTAAATATTCATATCCATTTTTCTTGAAACGACTTTTTGGATTATGCCAATCCTGTAGGGCGATATATTCTGACTCCTTATAGATAGAGTAGTCGGGGGCTTAATGCAGTAACTCAGGATTGAAAAAATGAATTTAATGTTCTGAAAATTTATAAAAGTAAACCGCAAAAAGTAAACGCAAAAGTAAACCTTATTTAAAATAATTATTTTATGAAAATTTTTTTGTTGGAGGCACATAAAATAAATTTTTATCACGATTCGATATACTGCCATAAATCTTTCAATTGTTTTTTTTTTTAATCTTTACTGAAGAGTCAGGGTTGGAAGATTTGTATGATGTAAAATTGAAAGAAAAAAAATTTAAAATTTAAATTCTAGAAATTTCATTCCTAAAAATTAAAAAAAAATACATACATATATGTATATTATAAAACGGAGCTAATATTTTAGTTTTTGATGTTATTTTTGTATTTTTTTAAGATAAACTTTGAAAAAAATGGAAAAAAGTAGTGTAGGGAAAAATGTAGGGAAAATAAAAAGTGGGTGTAGGGAAAAAAGGGATTTTTTCTCATAAGCGTAGGGATTTCTGATAAAAATCTCCTGGCATCACTGATTAGGGGTTATGATTTTGGGAACAGAATTCCTGAGACCAAGTTATATATTTCTAAATAATTGAGCTGAGAAGGAAGGATATATTATAAACTTTATCCTAAAGTCGATAGATTGGAATTTAAGATGCCTTAAACGGTTTTGTAAGTAAAGGGGTCTTCGCGTTTCGATAACGTCTCTAATATGGCAAAAAACGATCTCGAAAACATGTGAAAGAAAATTCTGATGTGAGATTCAGAAGAGCATATTGTGTTATTGTCACACTCTGAGAATAAAACCCGAAAATCTTAACCAATCAGATAAAGTTAACCTATGTATGTGACAACGGCTCTCAGGTTTGAAAATGTATTAACCAGAGAAATCTTGATTATTATAACTAATCTGAGCAGATTTACTCGGTAGGGCACATTTACTCCGTACAGTTGTATCTGGGCTTGATGGGATTTGTCATTGGGTCAAGATAAGTATGAGCACACAGACGGACAGACAAACGGACATAGAACTTGATTCTGAGCCGATTGGAAGAATACTTTAAGGTGCGTGTAGGATCAATATTTTTGGTACGAAAAAGTCGATTTACGACTTTTGGGCTTATGTAAGACTCGACTATTTTTCGACTAGTTTAAACAACATGACGATTATTTCTTTACATACGATTCGATATCTTAGTAAAGACGACTAATAGAACCGATCTACAAATAAACCGTCCATTTTTTTCGAATTTTTGTATTCGGGATTATTTCTACACTCAGCTAATTTCCATTCGTTACAATTGATCCCATATAGTAAATGTGCAATATACCCATGAACTATATATTTTGCTCTTTACTGTTTAATCCATGTTGCCCATCGCTGATCGCAAGTGATGACTTATATAAGATATAAAATTAAGATGTAAAACTGATCCTACTTTCCCTCAAGAAAACCAATCTGATAACAAGTCCATTCCAATTTATGGGTATTTCGATTATGGTAAACAAAATATTCTTATAAATGAAAAGTTAACCGATAATAGGTTATTACTGTATGTATAATATTTTTTTTTTTTGTTAAATTAATTTATATTATCTATGTATGTATTAAGTAAGTGTATATGTTATATAGTGGCATGAAGTAAAAATCGTTTAAAAATTCGCGTTGTATTTGTTGTAAGAATATCGTTAATGTTTCATTCCTTGTGTGTTGTCTTATTTAGCGTTGTATAGAATTAATTAATTAATAATAAAAGTAAATTCTTAATGCTAGTGGACTTAAGTAGTTAAGATTAGTTTCTTTTTTTATATATTTTTGTTTTTTTTTTTATAATTCAGTTTTTTAGAATTTTTAAGAATTTAAAGAATATACACTCAAAAAAGCATTTACAATTACAAAATATGTTGAATTTAAAAAAAATCTCTCATAAAATTGTTCAGTTAATTAGGGTTATGAACTGTCTATAATATCGGAACACTGTTGTATATTAGAAACAATGGCGAAACCCCGAAAATAAGCTATTTTAGCTACACTGGATACGAATCTGTTCTTAGATTAACTCGAAGAAGGAAGAATATATAGCAGAAGTTGATCCTTTATTTTAAAGTCGACAGATTGGACTTTCAGGTGACACAAAAGAGAAATTCTGAAATTAGAAAGTATACTTTGGTCTCCGAGTTAAACATTTGCTGTCCTGTGTAGTCTTAAAGTAGTATGAAATATAGATCGCTCTTGACCGAAAAAGTGATTTTGGAAGATAATTAATATAGCCTTGGAATAATTAAGGGACTAATCAATAGAGACTTTGGAATCTTGAATTATGAAGTTTTATGATGGACCAATCCTTGTAAACTGCTGTAAGGAAACTTTGGACAAGTGTGGACTGAAACTCTTAAACCTTTCTAGATGTTATTGCTCTAGTTATTATAACTTCTCAAATATTGTTAAAAACCTGTGTGTGTTAAAAGAAATTTTGAGATTCAGAACAGCTCAAGTATACTTTGGACTTTGGGTTAACAACTTGATGGCCCTTGTAGTCTTAAACAAGTAAGAAATCTAAGTAATACTTGACCGATAGTAATTTTTAAAGATAATCACTATATTTAGTCTTAGAACAACTAGGGACCGATCGATAACTCATCAACTACAGTTTGTAAGATACTTTTGAATATTGAATTTATAAAGTCCTATAATGGACCAAACCTTGTAGATTACTATAAGGAATCTTTTGACAATTGTGGACTGAAACTCATAAATTTTTCTAGATGTCTTTGCTCTATTATAAGTTCTTAAATATGTTCAAAAACATGATTTTTGAAACTATAGGACCCGATATTTTGAAAATTTAATGTGATGGAGAAATTTTGAGATTCAGTTTCAGAGCAGCTCAAATATTTAGAAAGTTGGTCTTAGGTTTAACAATTTATTGATCTGTGTAGTCTTAAAGTAGTATGAAATCAAAGACGTACTTGACCAATATGTAGTCTTGGCCTATCGATAACTGATCATGTACAGTTTTTAAGAGACTTCTGAATGTTAAATTTATGAAGTCCTATAATGGCCCAAACATTGTAAATTGCTATAAGGAATCTTCTGACTACTGTGGACTGAAACTCATAAAAATATTCTAGACGGATTTATTGCTTTACTTAAAATTTTATAAACGAAAGGGGCTAAAACTACACAGAGGGAAAAAGAAATATACACGCCTGGTATCAAATTGACACCAAACTGTTTATAATTTTTTAATACCATCCGTTGTCAAAGTATATACATACGTACGACAACACTATGTAATGTTGATAACATTGCAACAATTCGTTGTCGAAATCTAAATTTTATATATATCCGTTGTCTAAATGTTAACAAACGTGGTAAGCTCACTATTGACAAATAATCCGTTGCCAATAGTGAACTTACCACGTTTGTTAACATTTAGGCAATGGATGTGTATAAAATTTAGATTTCGGCAACGAATTGTTGCAATGTTGACAACGTTGCGTTGCAAGGCCAACTTTTGCAATCGTTCGATATAAAATGGACGTTTATCATAAAGTATTCTCCCTAGACTGTGAGTTTTATGTAAATGAACACCCGATACGGTTAATTCGGGACCCTGGCATTATTATATTACATAGTGTTGTCGTACGTATGTATATACTTTGACCACGGATGTTATTGAAAAACTATAAACAGTTTGGTGCCAGGAGTGTATATTTACCTTTTCTCTCTGTGTATAACTTCTCAATTAGGATCAAAATCGTAATTTTTGTAACTTTAAGACATTATACTTGGAAATGTAATGAAATGAAATTCGGTTTTAATTCGGCCTGTGTATGTCTTAAACAAATATGATATTGAAGTCGAACTTGCCGGATATTGATTTTCAATACAGTCTTGGACTATCTATGAAACGATCAAAATTTGAACAATTACAGTTCATAAGAGATTTTTGAATTGTTAATCTATAAAGTTCTATTATAGACCAATCCTTGTAAGATGTTATAAGGAATATTGGCTCTATTGTAAATTTCTAGATGAATTTGTTATTTTCTTAAATTTTTAATAAAATTTTAAATAATTGAGTGTATGTTCTTTAAATTTTAATTTCAACTAAATTCAAATACATATGTAGAGTTTATAATTAATATTAGCTTTTTGTTTTAACAAGTAATTTTTAAAAATTAATATTGCATCATTTTGATTGACTGATTGATTGGTTGAATGTTCTCCTGATTATGATGAGTGAGTTTTTGTATTTAATATGATAATGAGTGAATGAATATGTTTTCAATAACTTTACTTATCATTTGATTATGATCATTTCTATGTTATAATACAAATTTAATGAGTGTTTGCTTTTTTTTAGTTATTGTTTCATTTATGTCTGAAGTAGTATTTAAAAGTACAAGTTTTATTAATTAATTAATTTAATTTGAGCAATAGTCTAGATTTATTTTGTTAATTTTACCTAGTTTTTTTGGTTTTTTGTTAATTAATTTAGTTGCAGTTGTGAGTATGTTACTTAATTAATTTTCATTCTTTTTCCATTAAAATGTAAAACTTAAATAGTTATTAAACAACAGAAATAAAATAAATAAATAAATAAATAAATTTATTAACAAGGCTTAAAGTTTGATTTAAATATTTATATTTAGTTTTATTTTTGTCTGTAGAATACTTTATTCGGCTGGTACTATAGTTTGATCCAAATTTGGCTTTGTATCATCTGGATCTAAACTTAAGCATTCCGAAAAATAATGTTCCATGGAAGAATAGACATGTTCTAAAACACCATTAAGTTCATGGCCTTCATCGGCATAAGTCTAAAACAAAGAAATAAATTAACAAATTTTAATTTTTAAAATTCTTAAATTTAGCTTTAGATATTACCTGATATCTGTACAGGACATTGGCGTCCGTTAAAGATTTTGCTAATTGAACACCATGTATATAAGGTGCTGTAGAATCGGCTAAGCCGTGTATTAGAAAAAATGCATGTGATTTGATCAGACGTGCTCTTTGAGTTGCATCTGCTTCAACATAACCCTTGTAATTTTCAGCTGGAAGACCCATAATACGCTCTGTAAATGCTGAATCTAAAAGGAAAAAAAGGTTACATAAAACTATCTTCGCTATTAAATCTTGCCAAAACCTACTGTAATAAAGCCAATCGGCTATAGGTGAAACAGCTATACCACATTTGAAAACATCTTGTTGGGTGCCCAGGACCATCGAGGTGACATAGCCACCATAACCCCAGCCCCAAATACCCACACGAGTTTCATCTAAAAAACTTATGGTATCCAGCAGATAACTGTGGGCGAATGGTCATGATTATTATTTAGATTTGAAATAAACCACAATTCTGTACCTACCGTAACACAGAAATTTGATCCTGAACTTCTACACCACCCAGGTGTCTATATAGAGATCTTTTACTCTGGCCCTTGGCTCCTCTTACATCTAGGCGTATGTAAATGACATCATTACGTGATGACATATAAGTGCCCCAGTCTATACGAAATTTCTCTGACACCGATTCAGATCCAGGACGGCCATTGCTAAAAGCATAAAATTATACTTTCAAGTAAACTTTTTCAAACTTAACAAACTTACACTTCTACTATAACGGGAAATGCTGCATCTCTCAATTCTTCTCGCCAACTGGGCGGCAGCAATAATTGCACTTGAGCTCGACTGCCATGAGGCAACGGTATTTCGAACGATCTTTGCGTGGGCAGTGCCAACTTTTGTAATCGTTCGATATAAAATGGACGTTTATCATAAAGTATTCTCTCTAGACTGTGAGTTTTATGTAAATGAACACCCGATACGGGCAATCCGGGACCCTGGCACTCCAGTATATAAAAGGATATTCCATGTGGGGTGGCAATGGAAGACGTTGGCATTATGAAGGCATCAAAATGAGAACAATTAAGATAATAATAACGGCTGCTCCAAAGAGCTTCGCCCAAATCGCATGTTATGCAAGTTGGTTCAGTTCTAAAAATAAAGAAACTATAAACATAAATCAAGGTTACATAAGTGGGTAAAGCATTGGCCATAAGCAGTTGTGGATAAGTGATTTATAATTTTGTTAAAAAAGCTGGTTCTTTCGATTTGTTATAACTTTCTATATAATTTTGTTAGCATAAGCGCAGCATGCATACTAAAGCGTTTAAATTAACTGTACTTACTTTCTATTATCATCATTAACTGGATCTCTTACAGTATAAAGATGCCTCTGCCCAGGTTTCTTATCTTTAGTACCCAAATAATAAACTAAATGATTTGCAGTATCCCAGCAAAGAATTTTCAATACCTTTAATATTTCAAAGCAATGTTATTGTTAAATATTGTTTATCTTAAAAATAGTATATAATTTTGAATTACTGACCTCATATCTGCCATGAGAAATAACAGATATTCTTTGTTGTGATATGGTTACATGTTTTATATGGGTAAAATGTTCCGTGCCGGATTCTTGTACACTAGCTAATATTAAAAAACTATTTCCATCTGGAGAAAATACCGGATGTGGCAGTATATCAAGCCATTCGTCTTCGGGTGCCCTTTCAGAATGGATCTAGAAAAAATAACAATAACAAATTGGAATGGAATTAGTAGATTATTTAAAGATACATTCATATATTTTAAAGTAAAGGAGTTATTGATTGAGGAGTAAAAATGGATACAGTAGCATATGATAGTTCCAGGATTCAGCTTTGTTTGATCACAGGTATTAATTGATGTGGGGAACACAAAGCACTGACACCTGAGTTAAGATCTTTTGTGCTGTCCTATGGTTCATCATTGGATATTAAGTTCTCGTATGAATCTCAATGTTCTAGTCGGTGCGAGATTGAATAGCCGGAATACTGATTCTAATAGGCCATAACCTCTGCATAACCTCGTCATATTGCTGCCAAGAATGTGCTGGTGATATCTAAGTTCACAGTGTTGGGTATAAAATCCCGTTAGTATCTTAAGTCATCATTGTTAAGCGATAATAACTTTCCGGATTTACCTTTTGTTAGCGTTTAAAACTTTTTGCCAGTCTGAGCCCTGCTATTGACTCCAAATGGCGGAGAAATTCGGATTCAACATAACAATCGCCTTTTTCCCTTATGTATCCTTTGGAAATACTAAGGATGGTTCTGGTCCAATGGATGGATATTGCGCGCCCCAATATGCCAGACAACCTGCTGTTTCATTGCCAAAGTGACCTTCATGGATAAGTACCCAACATGGTGTCATTTTATTATGTATATCTCGTTCATTTAGAAATGTCAAGCAGTCAAGTACGATACCCGACCTGATTTCATATGACACTAAAGCCTTGACTATCCGACATCACAAATGTTTCAAATCCTATAATATATAAGAACCTCTGTGTAGTCTCAACTGTTGATCTACAATCAAGAATCCCTATACATATATGGATCAATAATAAATGTATTTATAATACTTATGTATCCCACCAAGTTCCCAGTTTTTAAAGTGATTAGTTCTGGTAGGTGAAGTTCAGATTTGCGCGCATCATCCTTAATGAGAATATGGACAACTTCTCATGGCCCTCGACACAAATGAAACGATCCTAACCTGATCTAACTTCATCCACCATACCAATGTATTATGGCTTTATTATTATGGTTTCAAAGGTCCAGAAGAGCATTCTTGGCTTTAAGCCCTACGCTCTACGAAAAAGGTTTTTGACATGCATATAATGTCCTGGTGGATTTATTAATAGCATTGGATGTATGTAGTTTCCAGTTTAGAGTCTTATTGAGAAGGATTCTCAGGTTTTCACAAAACTGGAGAAGCGTGGTTTAAAAATGTTTGATAGTACTCGACGAACAGAGCAAGAAATGGGATATTATAAACATTTATATACTCGGGGTTTATAACATCGGGCCCCTGGACAGGTTCCTGGTATTGCCATAGGTTTCAAATTCTAAACATAAACTCGTTCATTTAATAACAATTGCAATAACGGACGACTAACTTATTAAGGCATCAACACAGGTTCCAGTATATCTGAATATCTATACAGCGTGGACTTCATGATTAAATCAGAGGTTTAATTTCAAGGCTGAGTTTGACAACAACTACAACCGACCACCCTCAGTAAATCAATACTGGTTCGTTTGCATAATATGAATTTTTACCACCTATACAGTAAGGACTTAAGGGGTCTGGTTAAACAAGATTTTCTTCCTTAATCACATGATCGATATTAATGCTCAGTTGGACACTTTGTGATAGTCGTAGATTGTTGACTATATGACATATACCTGTCATAAATATTTATTTATATCTAGTACCTATTCTCAAATAGGGTTCTCTACTACTTTCCATTTTACTATATTACAACGGAATGCTATGTTAGCAGGTGCCTTCCAGCGGCATCTTCTAGGTCTAGCTTTTTGATAGCTTCATTTCATTTAGAGACGTTTTTGATCAATATTTAAAGGTGTGCTATTTCAGAAAAACGTCGGCGAATCTTAACAATTTGACTTATAATCACTCAACTATGAAATCGGGGCATTCAATATCGTCGTTATTATTTTGATTATTTGACAACATATTGGCATTATCTTTGAAATCAACTCTTACCTCCGAACATTCCCAATTCATATCGGCAAAACATGTTGCGATTATGCTATAATTTTGAGATCTCATCATATAAACGACCGATACTTGACGATTACCATCTGTTACCCATCCGGCTGACGTCAGATAATAATCCCTAGAGATATAAAAAATAAATCATAAGAAAAAATCTTTGCAACTATATAGTAATTTTCTTTTTCGCTTACTGGCCATCTAGGGAAGGTGGTGGTTTTAGGAGGATATGATAAATTTTTGAGGCATTTGTTATATCAACTATCCATAATTGCACTTCTGGATTTGTTGTACCCGGTGTTGGGTAACGTACATTTTTAGTTTCAGGAAATGAACTGCCAGCTGACATGCCAGAGCCGGTCAAAACAGCACCAGATGCCAACCAAGGATACGTCATCATGCCGACATTGCTATCATTGAAGGAGGCATACATGAAGTGTGTACCATCTGTAGACGACCAAATGGCTTCTGGTTCGTCAAATATTTCCTCTGTAAATAAGTTATTTAATAAAAAAATCGAGGTTTTGCAGCGACAATATTACACTTACCTTGGTACAGCCAGTCGGGTACACCATTATAAATCAAATTTTGATAGCCAGAATTTGTTATACGCAAATCTTCTTCATCGGCTGGTGATTGTCTCAGGTAAATATCATTATCGGCTACGATTACCAGTGAGGTGGTGTTGCCCAACCAGGAGGCATATTGCAGCCGGGTTCTCTGTACCTTGGGCGAGTCTTTTAATTTCACAGGCATATGATGATCGTTTTCGACATCGTATATGGTATAAAATGCAGTAAATGACTTTTTAAAAATCTAAAAGAGAATTTAAAGGGACAGTTTTTTAAAGGCTTTTTACCAAGATGGCAGTAAATATGAGATATACCTTCTTAACATTATGTCTGAATAGAACATATCGCAGATCATAGGAGCATTGATAGCCCTGTACATTAAGTTGTCTTAGAGTGTGATTAGTGGCCAAAGTACTAACCGTATTAGTGGCAGTATCTAAAACGGAGAGAGCACCATCGTCCGATTGAAAAACATACTTTTTGGTCGTAACCCAAGAGGGCTGCAACCGGGAAGGCGTTAGATCTCCCTGCAAATACTCATCCAGTATCATGCGTCGTCCCGACCAATAAAGTAATTCATCTACGTAACTGTTAAGAGTGAAATGTTATTGTAGAATTTTTTCCCCGATATTCTTATGAATGACTTACCCTAATAAATAAATGGCCGTTATAATACCAGCTATAACAAAACTTATCACTAATAGCGAAAATACTATGGATCGCCAATTATGACCCTCATCGAGGTCTAAGTCTGGATCTTTGATTTTTGAATCTTGTACTTGTAATGTTTCGTCTGGAGGCAGACGCCATGATCCACCACCTCCTCCTTTATCAGATGTCACGTTTGCGTGCATTGAAATTTATAATCACTTCTACGATAAATGGCTGGAATCTTCAACTCTCACAGTGTTAAATTTCTATATAAATAACGTTTCTCTCGTATATGTACGCACGCAGGCATACACTCTTTTGCACGCACACAAGCAATCACTCACTCACTCACACACAAGGGCAGACTTATAGTTATAAGGAAGATAGTCCTGCAGACATCGGGGGGAGACTGGATTTAAACACATGCATATGCATATAGATGGCACTCTATAAATTTGATTTGTTGACACTGGTGAATTGTTGGCCAAGCCATAAAATTCACCTTTTCTTTCAGTTGGAGTGTTTCAGATGTGGAAGAGATGATATTTGTTGTTGTTGTCGTCGTTTTTTAGCACTTAGAACAGTTTATTGCAAAGAGTTTAGATTGATTTGTTAGTGGTTGATTGTTTGTTTGTTGTAGGTTGGTAGGTTTGTGTGTTTGGTTATGTACTATATTACTCATTTCATCTGTAGTAAAGTTTAGCTGCCTTGTCGCGAAGGCCTTTGTAATGACGCATATTTGAAATGATGGCTTGATGGCGGCAATTTATCATTTATCTCCATTGAAATTTCCTTTCACTGTCTGAATGATTTTCTAAATCAGCAACAGCACTGCCACCTTGAATGTAATACGTCATACATTTTTCAATATCATCAACAATACCACCACTTAGGTTTTTCTTCCTTTTCCTTCTTCTTTGATTGCTTATTTACTTCTTCCTTTTTATATTACACCTTCTGTTTTATTTACTGAAATTAGAGAGAATAATAAAATATATTAAAATTTTATTTATATCTAGTAGAGATAAATAATAATAAAGTAGTGTAAAATAAGGAAGGATTTCAATACATAGGAAAGATTTGATATTATTACAATTAAAGACTTATATGTAATGGACCGATACTCATTTATATAGGAGGTACATGGAAGTCAAAGTTTTCCTTGCAAAATTTGAGTATGCTATTTCTAATAGTTTCCAGATATACGAATTTCTTTTTATTAAATTCATATGGGAGGTGCCACGCCCCTATTGCTAGTCTGGCCATTTTCCTATAAATTGTTCATGTAAATTTTAATGTTGGCCGTGCAAAGTTTGAGAATTCTGATAGTTTCCAAGATATAAGAATTTTTGTATTTAATTCTTAAGGAAAGTGCCACACCCCCTATTTTTAGTCCGCCCATTATGTCACAAATATACCTAAATGACTCCGACAAAATTTTAGAACAGTTATATTTTCTCTGAAATACTGATTTAATATTTTCTTTATATGGAAGGTGCCACGACCACTATAGCCTGTACGCCCATTTTCTCCCCAAATATTCATATGGGCACATATATAGATTCGGGAGTGGATCCAATAGAGGTCAGATTGCCTAATAACAATGCTTGCACTTGAAAAAACATTCAAGAATCGCGATCAGATCGGGTGAAACTATATTATCTGATCGCAATGCCTTGAGCATCAAATTACATTGTCCAGTAATAATCCCCCACCGGGGCATGTTCCCTTGATGATATATCCCATCTTGGTGTATTGCAATCCCGGGGTATAGAGGTGCTACCAATACCTCCAGTCTCCCGGGACTATAAACTGGTGATGATCAAATGTATCCTTCGATTTGCCTAGGAATGATTTGACATTAGGTCGAACAAGAGCCCAGATAATCTGGTACTACGGTGGCCAGTTGCCCGCAGGACTTTGTCCTGGCTGGTCACTTGGTTCCTTCGGTATCCTCGTAGTGACTGTGGTTTAAATCCAAATTCGCGGGGAGAGAATGTTGATTTGAAGACTGATATATCCAAATTCCATTTATGTTTGGATTCTCTCTCCGCTGCTGTTGCCATCTCAACAAATGTCACTGGGTGATATGACAGAGCAACTTATGCTGGTTTCTTAAACCCATTGAGTATGTCTTACTCTTCGCGTAGTAGGCTGCCAGCATAGGTTGGGGAATTTTCAGGTTGACATGCAGTAGTTGCCTGTCATTCCGTAGATCGTTTTTTATGGTCTGAAAATGGAACAGATATAAGTTAGTGAACGATCGGGACAGACTTCTCTGCCTGACAGCAGACTAGTACTACTGATTTAGTATTCCTTTTACTTAAGGGACGTTCTCGGTGCTGTTGCGATCTCAACAGGATGTATGTTGTTACATGCTGCGCGACTTATGGTTGAGGACTCCCACTCAACTTGTCGGGGCAATTATGGGGTTCAATTGACTTGGGAAATTCCTACATCCTTACTCAGATTATCTCGACATACAAAGGTATTCTGATTTATTGTCTGGGTATTTCGGACTACCAAATACCTCCCTAGCACATCTATTTAGCAACACAGCCTTGTGGGTGCGTTTGCTGGGATTTCTTTACCCCTCTTTTCTGATTTGACAGGTACTTCTCCAACGTGATCACTTAGCAAGAGATTAGATAGCTCCTGCAAAGTACTTGTACATGTACAAAAATTGTCACCTGAGTGTTCTTCATCAAATAAGTCCGTCAAGGCACTTATACATTCTTATCCAGAAAACATTAACAATAGAGCGTTGTGTTGTTAATCTTCAAACGATTGGTCGACTACTCTACTGTAGTCCTACAAACTAGTGCCCGACTCGTTCGTGGAACTAGACAAAGACTTTAAATCACACAAAATTGACCTACAAAATTCTTCTGTCATCGATGACACAATTGGTCGGACTGTTAACGTTTCTTCAGTATGGTAATCTTCTGAAACAAAAACTTTCAAACTCTTGCCTTTTAAAGACATTTTAGATTTCAATCAGTCTTTCTTGAAATAATGTAATGAAGTATAAGCATGAGTTGAAAGAAACTCCTTCCTGGGATCGTTTTCGAATATGAAACAACTAAAAAAGTATTGTCGGTCAAGGCCGAACGTATGAAAGAATAGAAAAAAGCACATGTATGATTTACTTTTATAACATTCATCTTCGTGAGAAGTTTGTCATTCCGTTTATTATCTTCACAACATAACTTTTTCGACCCTAGGATGTGCTCATAGGAGAATTTTTACCACAATAAGGCTAGAATTGGGTCTATTGTACGCTCCTTTTCATGGGAAATGGTGGTTGGTAAAAACATAAACCCTTATATTGGGATCAATGAAGGTATTGTGATCCGAAGTTCATATACTTATGTTTCTGAATGTAATTCCTAATAATTTTCCAATTAGTGTTAGTGGCGGATGTTATATCTGGAATTTGGATCTAATTTTGAAGAAAATCTGACAATGGTTAAGAAAGTGCTTCAGAGATTCACAGTCCATAATCTGTTATCGTTCAACATAGCTGAACTTTTTATACGAAGTCTAAATTAAGACTAGAAATTATTTATCTTCCGTTGTCACAAAGCTTACAGTCTCTTTTACATAATCTGCCATTAAAATGACGTACAATTGGGGAATAGAAACGAAGTCTTTAAACATTGAAAAAATACTGTTAGGTTTTATCTCGATTAAATATTTCTATAATACATTCTACAGATAAGGTTCTCGGCCTAAGAGTCTCATCTAATAGTCTTAGTTTATAAAACTGTTAACGGTCAAATATTTCATATAAATGACATGCTTGATAAAGTCAACCCCTCCTAATAGTGGAAACTCATTTAAATATTCAAATTTAAATTAATAACAACCAATAATACAGAATAGTTTTCATCATTTTACCTCTTCGAAGTTGAGTAAAGTATTTTTTGGCTGCTGCACAATGCAATTGGGTTTTAAACTTAAATATTGACAGACTATAAAACAGGGTGAAACTAGTACAAGTCATAAAATACAATATCTACTCATCGTAGAAGTCATACAATTATTATATGCAAATAAGTTTCACTCTACTTCTTCGTAAGAAGGAAAAAATAAAAGAAATAAAAATTGTAAAACTTAAATATTAAATTTAGCCTACTTTTTGAAAACATCTTCAAAATAAGATTGTATTTTACATTATTATTGTATCTTATGGATCTGTGTGTACTAAGGATTAAACCATAAAATGTCATAGTTACAAATACATACATACATACCTACACCAACAAAAATATACAATATATAACAATAAAAGTAAATCTTAATTTAAATATATAGAATGTTTAATATAAATGTTTGTAAGTATGTAAATGTCTATGTGAATAAATTGGGGGCTCTAGAAAATAGTACATACACCCTGCTGTATATAACCAGCAATTTAAGTGGGAGCCCATGTATCCCTCTCAGAAATTATTCACTTAATATGTTTAACTACTTGATTGTTATGAATTTATAGATTTCATTTATAGTTACTTTAGTAGTCCAAAGTAATCTAGAGAGTAGACACTCTCTACAGCCTTAGAAGTGAGGGACAATTGTTTCTACAATAGTTATTCAACTAAATTTGTAACTAAAAATTGTAACTGAATTGCAGGGTTCATCTAAACATCCACAATAGGTAACGGTTTTTTATAACTTTTACTATAAAAGTTGTTGTTGTTGTTTTAGTCAATATATGAATGTTGTGTATTAGTAGTAGTATAAAGTAGCGGTATAAACACCCGTATCGTAGAGATTTTCATTTAAAGTGTGAGTGTCTATGTAAGTCAGAGTTCACATTCACATTTTACTAAAGTTATTTAAGATACAAACAACAAACCCATTAAACTCACTTTATACAACGAATATTGGCGGCAAAAGTGTCAGAGGTCGAAAGTATTTTTTTCTTTTTTTATAATTTTCATTCCGTTTTCTATTGTTATGCCTTCTACTTTTCTCTTTGTCCTTTTTTTTTCATTTCTAGTTTATAATAGAAATATACACATCCAAATACTACAGACAAACCAACAATTAAAACTCTAAAAGTATTTATTTGTTTGTTTCTTTGTATGGCCAAAAAAAAAAATTGTGAAGGTGTATAAGGTACGTTACAGTGAAGGAAGAAATTATTGGCCCACTCAATGGTTTGAATATGAAATGAAGTACAAAACGGTTTACTAAATCTCAATTGGAAAATGATTTTGGCAAAAAATGATTTTGGCAAAAAACTTAGGAAATTAAGAAAGAAAATATAGTCGGGAATATGAAGTCTGATATTTCTAAACGTCTTGTTCGATCGGCATAAGTTTACATGAAGCCCAAAAATAGGTCCCCTTGTGATACCTAAACGGATCAAAACCTCGACCTACCTATGTAAGGTAATGTTTCTATGTAAGGTAACGTGGCAAACCAGGCATTCAGATTGAATACAATAAACGAATGGTCGTATAGATCATATGGACATACAAGTATCACCGATAATGATAGAAAACCTACCGCATAATATTGATTATTGCGTTCCTTCCTCCCGAGAAACTTTAGTTCTGTCATCGGAACTGGAGGAAGACCGCTCCCCACGAAGCCTGTCACTGTACAGAGAGTTTGGAATAAGGATTACTTTGAGAATCAGCAATGTTTGTAGTCCAATTCAGGCTTCTAGAATCATAGGATATCTAACAGAGTCATCCTAATCTTTACCGAGAGTCAAGCTGCAATCAAATCCCAGGAATCCAGGAATGATGGACATCCTTAAACGGTATGTCGAGACATTCAAACATCGTACTCGTATGAATACGAGAACACGGAGACTATATAGGCAAGTTTATCGCACGCCAAGTTCACTATTGCCACTTTTAGACCATTTCTGTGGTACTCCGATAGGAGTATACAAAGACTCATAGATAATATGTTTTACGAATTCTCCTAGGCATAATGGCATATTCCAA